AGATAGATAGATAGAGATAGATAGAGATAGAGAGAGATAGAGAGAGATAGAGAGATAGATAGATAGGGATAGATAGATAGATAGATAGATAGATAGATAGATAGATAGATAGATAGATAGATAGATATAGCTCGCTAGCTAGCTAGATAGTTCTGTAATTCTATGTGTCTCCAACATCTATATCTGTCTACAGTCTGTCTATATATACACCTATCTACCTATCTACCTACTTATCTCTTTCTTTATCTTCTCTATCATCTACATCATTTATATATATCTAATCTATATTATCTATCTAGTTATCTACCTAGCATCTATTTATATATTATAAATATATAAATATAATATTATTAAATATATTAAATATTATTATTATATTATATATTATTTCCTATTGGAAACAATGAGTCCTTTTCCTTCTTCCAGGTATCGGATGATGAGCACACCAAACTTCTCCATGAAGAAATCATCCCGGTTTCACAGATCGAACCGAACTTCGCCAAATTCACGTACACACCGCGATCGCTTCCTGAGGACGACACATCGATGGTAAGTGTTCGTTCCAATTTGCCTGCTTGAGGCACCTGGAAAGATTGCTTGGTTGATTGATGGATGGATTGATTGATTGATTGATCGATTTATTTATTCATTCATTGATCAATTCAGTCATTCATTTTGATTGATCAATTCATTCAGTCATTCATTCGTGGATCAATTCATCAGTCATTCATTGATTTATTGATCCATCCATTCATTCATTCATTGATCAATTTATTCATTCAGTCAGTCAGTCAGTCAGTCAGTCATCGATCAATTCATTCAGTCATTCATTGATTCATTGATTGATTCATTCAATCATTGATCAATTTATTCATTTATTCATTGATCAATTCAGTCATTCATTTATCAATTTATTCATTTATTCTTTGATCAGTTCAGTCATTCATTTTCATTGATCAATTCATTCAGTCATTTGTGGATCAATTCTTCAGTCATTCATTGATTCACTGATCAGTCATTCATTGATTCATTGATTCATTGATTCACTGATTTATTGATTCATTGATCCATCCATCCATTCATTCATTGATCAATTTTTTTCATTTATTCATTGATCAATTCAGTCATTCATTGATCAATTTATTCATTTATTCATTGATCAATTCAGTCATTCATTCATTCACTGACAAATTCATTCATTCATTCAATCTAACATTTCTTTTGCTAAGCTAAAAACCTTGTCAAATGGGTTTGGCAACCCCACACTTGCCAAGGGGCTCAGGGGAGGTTGTGTAGGTTGAAAACATCAAACATCAAACAATACATTCATAGACTCCTATGGCACTAAGGACCGTCAACCAGGCCTAGGCAGTTGCCTATGAAAGCTTAGCTGAGTCAGTCAGTGGCCACTACCATCTGGAGTCACACCTGCAAGGCCTTCAGTGGCCATGTGACCGGCCACGTAACCGTACATTACATTCTGGATCAGCTGTAGCTTTGGAGGGAGGAGGAGGGAGGAGGAGTGAAGGAAGGAAGAGGAGAAGGAGAAGGGAGGAGGAGGAGGAGAAGGAGGATGACAAAAGGAGAGAGAGGGAAAGGGAGAGGGAGGAGGAAAGAAGGAAGGAAGGAAGGAAGGAAGGAAGGAAGGAAGGAAGGAAGGAAGGAAGGAAAGAAGGAAAGAAAGAAAGAAAGAAAGAAAGAAAGAAAGAAAGAAAGAAAGAAAGAAAGAAAAGAAGGAGGAGGTGAGAAGGAAAGGAAGAGGGGTGGGGAGGAGGAGGGAAGAGTGAAGGAAGGAAGAGATGAAAGGGAAAGGAAGGGGGATGTGGGAAGGAGGAGGAGGAGGTGTGAAGGAAGGAAGAGAAGGAGGGTGAAGAAAGGAGAGGGAGGGAGAGGAAGGAGGAGAAAGGAGTGAAGGAAGGAAGAGAAGGAGAAGGGAAGAGGAGGAGGGTGAAGAAAGGGGGAGGTGGAGGAGAGAAGGACGAGGTGAGAGGGAAAGGAAGAGGGATGGGGAGAGGAGGGAGTAGGGAAAGTAGGGAGAGAGGGAAAGGGAGGATTGGGAGGAGGAGGAGTGAAGGAAGGAAGAAGGAGGAGAGAGAGGGAAAGAGAGAGGGATGGGGAGGAGGGGAGAGATAGAATCAACCTATTGCCACTCAACTCCTCAGAATAACAGTGACCTTCCACGTTGCCCTTATTTTGGGAGGCCAAGATATCTCAGTTATGGCTCTTGGCCACAAGAAAATGGCTTCTCCTAGCCTGAAGGAGGTTGCCATCAACCTTTTCCCCTCAATCTCATCTTTCTTTCTTTCTTTCTTTCTTTCTTTCTTTCTTTCTTTCTTTCTTTCTTTCTTTCTTTCTTTCTTTCTTTCTTTCTTTCTTTCTTTCCTTTCTTTCTTTCTTTCTTTCTTTCCTTTCTTTCCCCCCAAAGGCCATTCTGAGCATGCTGCAGGACATGAATTTCATCAGCAGCTACAAAATCGACCGTCAAACCCTTGTCAGGTATGGTTGGGAGAAGAGAACAAGGCAGGTTTTTTGTTTTTTGTTTCCCCCTTTTTCCTTCCTCTGGATCCCGAAGTGATCCAGGGACTTGATTTCCGCTTCTCCGTTTGGACACCAGGTTTAACGCATTATTTCAATGTGCCGGCTCGGCTGAGAGGATTCCCGGCAAAAAGGGCACCATCTTACCTGCTTGTTGCATGCCTGGCCAATCCCAAGGTGGGGGGAGGGGGGTGTCCCCGTTGGACCAGGGCTTGGGAAAGCCGCAGACAGTCCTGGTGCCTCCAGGGAGTCCAAGAGGCGACAGGAGGATCCACAAGGAGTTGTTGAAAAAAGGTTAAGGTGGGAGCTGCAATGGTGCAATCGGAACTGGGGCCGGGTTGCTTTCTGAGCAAAGTAGGTAACATCATCAGTGCTAGAAGGGAATGGGGGATGGTGGAAAGGAGGAGGAGGAGGAGGAGGAGGAGGAGGAGGAGGAGGAGGAGGAG